AAAAAAAAAAAAAAAAAAAAAAAGCTGTAAAATGGAATGCCTTAATTAACAAGAGATCTGAAGATGATGAGATAATTATTCACATAACAAGTGAATTGAAGAGTTAATATAAAAAGTTAGAAGAAAATGAGAATTTTTCTGAAGAGTAGAAAAGTTTTTGAGTTTAGAACTAGTAGAAGAAATAATATAGGAAAATGTTGAAAAGATTTAACTACATAAAAATATAAAACATCACACACCAAAAAAAATTGAAAGGTAAATAAAAACTCAGTTTTGTTTGAAATTTCCACTGGCTCACATAGGGATGGCCTAGTTGTATAATGCTGGTAAAATTGTCTCATAAAGCATAATTTAAGCTTATATTATTTTTATTTGTACTACTAACATGCTAACTTAAAAGCCTGCTTTAAAACTGGATTATTCTAAAAGTTTTGAACAATGTCATTTTTATTTGAAGTTATTAGACATCAACATTCAAAGAATTTTGGTACCATTAAGGAAAGTAAATATTGGTTATAATAGGTGTTACATCAGTGCATAAATGAATATTAAATTAGAACTTCATGATTTATGATATTCCAAAATATTTATAATAAGGTTGCTTTCATGCCTTTGTTTCTTGTTTGTTTGAATAAGTCATAAAGAGGAATATATTGAGAATTAAGGATTATAGAATGTGCTTCAGAAATTATAGTATGTAACTCCAGATAAAGTAAAATAAAATTGCAAGAGAATTTGAGAGATTAATTGAACAGTCGATGTAGCAAGCAGCAAGGCAGAGAAAGAGAAGAGAGATACAGAGAGAGAGAAAGGAGAGAAAGAAAAGAAAGAAAGAAAAAGAAAGAAAGAAAGAAAGAAAGAAAGAAAGAAAGAAAGAAAGAAAGAAAGAAAGAAAGAAAAGGGTGGAAGGAAGGGAGGGAGGGAGGGAGGGAGGGAGGAAGTGAGGAGGGAGAGAGAAAGAGAGAGAAATAAAGAAAGGAGTGGAAGGAAGGGAGGGAGGGAGGGAGGGAGGAAGTGAGGAGGGAGAGAGAAAGAGAGAGAAATAAAGAAAGGCAGAATGTTCTTTACATACCTAAAAGGTCAAAATCATAAGATACTTTTACGAATTATGTGGAAAAGATGGACAATCATCACATTTTTTAAAAACTTCTTAAGTTCTGGGCTTAAAGCAAGAATGTTTTGGCATTAACAATTGGCATATTCTAATTTCAACTTCTTAATGCTGTTTTCCATTGCTTATAAAATAAATCTGTTCTTGAATATTTCATGAGTTTTCAAGGTAATATAAAAAACTCAGTAATGTGGATATAGAAATCAGTAATTGGAATCTGTTATTTGGTAAACTAATCAGAAGCATAAATAATGGCTTTTTCCTAACTGGCAAAATGAGCTTTACGAGAGAGGAGAGCCCTACCTTGTTCGAGCATGAAATATGACCACAGCTGCTTCTAACTATTGAGCTACTACCACTTATACTGGGTCCGAAAATTCCTTTTTCTTTTTCCTGTTGCTTCTTGAAAGTTCACGATTTTCTGTTCAATTTTAATAAATGGTCTTTATATACGATCAGTGCTTTTCATAATGTTTTACTTATGATCCATACCCTTAGACTTCTCTTTCCCACTTCTCTCCCTTTCAAAAAAAATCTAGTGATGGTAATATTATTTAATGTAACCCATGTAATCATGATTGAATCAGAAGTTCCTGGCATTCAGTCAAGGGCTACTGCAAAGGAGAGAAGTAGACTTATTAATGTAAGAATTGGAGGATGGAGAATGTGAACAAGAAGACAAATGCCAGCCAGTTTTGGTGGCAAAATTAGAAAGTGAAACTAAGAGATTTTTTTCCAATTAAGTTTATTGGTACATTTTAGGTATACAATAGTTATATTCATCATCAGGAACTTGTACCCTTATATGATGTATCCTGATTCACTTTATAGCAACTGGCAGTGCTTCAACCTCATTTGTGTTTGGATAATTTATACAGTTGTTGTATTATTTGTTTTGTTTTGTTATTTTTTGAGACAAGTTCTTGCTATGCAGTTCAGGCTGTCCTTGAACTCTGTGTAGCCCAGGCTGGTCTTGAACTCACAGCAATCCTCCTGCCTCAGCCTCCCAAGTGCTGCTGGGATTACAGGCGTGCGCCACCACACCAGCTAGAATGTTTTAAAATGAAGAGTTTTACACAAAAGTTTCCCTCTATGACTCTCGAACAGAAACTTGGGCATCTGTTTCACAGCAGTGGGTAGGCAGGGGTACAGTTGCTTGTCCCTATACAGAAGAAACTGGTTCTTCATTTACCATGGTGTGTATACAGGTCTCAAACACTTGGAAGGCTCTTGTCTGGTCCTTGCAGGCACTTGGGTTTATGGTTTCTTCTGAGTATGATGAGATAGAAGAGCAGGAGGAAACTGATGTTAAAACAAAAACAACAATGAGGCTGCCTGACTTGTGCATAGCACTTGCTATTTCCCTGACACTGTCCTAAGTGTTTTGTATCTATAGGCCATTAACTCTCTACATGGGAGATATTTATGACTATCTTCATATTACATGGGAAGCACCTGAGGCCTAAGAAACTGAGACAAAAAGTCACCTTTGCACTCTGTTTCCTCCTGAGTGTCTTCTGGAGGAAAATAGCCCTTATCTAGCTTGGTGAGTGAACCCATGGACTCCTCAGTCCCCTGATGGTGCCATTTCCAATATGCCTGCTGCAAGGCCTGACACTAGGCTCAGGGTGTCTGCCCTCTTCATCTTCTCCATCATGTCTGCCCTCTGCCGCGGATGGTTTCCTTCAAGGCATTTAAAAGTTATCATAGTTAACAATTCCTAGTATTCTGGGAAAGAAAGAAATGATTCTTGGGATCCACAAATATAGAGCGAAAAGGGAAACATATCCCTCATGTTTTCATTTACCTTTTCTTGTTTCTTCAAAGACATGTGGTCCTCTGTGGGCACAGCAGTGTGGCAGTCAGTATTACACAACTGGTGTTTGCTCTGATGTCAGTCCTGACTTTCAGCACTTGTCCAGCTTTGCACCTGCAATTCAGAGTAAGTTGCAAATGCATGGAAGGTCCAAGGAACACCTTGCATTTAAATGGTGTGTGTATGTGTGTGTGGGGGGGGTTGCATCAAGTTCTACCCAACCCCTCTGCAAGCCACATTTTCATATGGGTGTGAAATTTGACTTACTCAGAAAATATGTTTCTTTCATCTTTTCTTATGTAGCCTGCCCTTCCCTCATTGATGTTGTGGTTGTGTGTGATGAATCAAATAGTATTTATCCTTGGGATGCAGTAAAGAACTTTCTGGAAAAATTTGTGCAAGGTCTGGATATAGGCCCCAGAAAGACACAGGTATGGATATCAGTACTGCATGAAATAGCCTATAGCTTTCTTTCTGAGAAAATAATGTTAGAAGTGAAATTACAATTTTTCCATTTGCCAAATCCCTACATTTAAGGGTAACCTTCAAAGTTAATTGAGAATTGTAGAACTATCAGTTATTATTTTGCCTATGACTTTGCTGTTGACCTTAGAGTTTTGTTTTTGAAACAGGCATAGGGTATGGGAATATCACATTTTAATACTTTTATAATTGCCTGTTTTGAGCCTTCTGAACCATGAGTTTATTAATACATTTTAAAATTGGATATGTATTTTTTATGTCCATGTGAACTAGTAATAAATTTATTTTGTTTATTCTTAATGACAGAACAGTTATCTTGGAATTCTGGGAATTAAATTCTCCTTCCCTTTTCTGACAAAGTGTGGGGCTGTGTCATAGAGTTTACTGTACCCCTATTTTCTCTCACATTAGACACCGAAATCCTCAGAGTTATTTTCAGTCCTTCCCTCTGTCTCAAGTCTTATACCCTGTGCTCAAAAAAAGGGTCCAGGCATATTTTGTTTCTTACCACCTTCCTAGCACCTAATATATTGCCTCCCAGCTAACAGTAGCAGGACAAACTCAGGAATCCAGCCCTTTCATCTTCTACCTTCCTTTTATTCTAGCCTCAGAGAGTCTTAAGGTCCTTTTAGAAAACCTTTTATACTGCATCCCCTCTTACTATTTCCTGTTCAGAAGACCCCATTTCCTAGGCATGAGAAAGAACTCAGTGCCTATGAACAAGAACATTTGTGGAAGGTTCTGACCTTCTTGATCTGAATATTGGACAGTGTTCCCAAATGTTTTTTTCAGAAGTTTTCTTTCAGCTATATGAAATAATATTCTCTCTGATGGTATTTTTTCCTGAAATATTGAAATTCCTGACCCCACATGCAAGTCCAGCAAGTTCCCTGCAGAGATACTGAGGCCTACAATAGAGGAAATCTAGCATAATAGAGAAATCTAAATGTCTCTCTATCTCAGGAGTACTTGGGCTTAAAGTAGTACGTGAAAAATTCTGCAATTATTACTCTTTTTCATTAAGTTTATTGGTACTTTTTAGGTATATAGTAGTTACACTCATCATTGGGGTCTTGTACCTCTACATGACAGGTCTTGGTTCTCATTTTTTCCCCTCACCCCTTCCCTTTTTCACCCTCTCCATCCTTTCCTATTTACAATGACTTCATTTCCATTGTTTCCTTTTCTAATATTTTTTCTTTCCCCTTCTTTCCTTTTCCTTATCCTTCCCTCTTCCTCTACTCCTTTAGCCCTTTTCTTCTGATTTCACATTATCAGTTAATACAATTGCAATTACTACTCTTGAGAACCAAATCAAAAGTTGTCACACATCATCATTCTTGGCAACAGTACTAATGTTACACACTGATGGCCTCAAACAAAGAAGTCACTCCACTGAAAGAAATATATATCAAGAAAAAAATGGAAGAGGTTTCTGTAAGCCACTGGACCATGTCTAAATGCACTTTTGATTTTTATTATATTGGTTCACAGAAATTATCTATATAAATCACTGACAGCTGTTAATAAGATTCTGATTTTTTGAAGGTTGCCTTGATTCAGTATGCCAATAACCCAAGAGTCGTATATAACCTGAATACTTTTAAAACCAAAGATGAACTGATTCGAGCAACATCCCAGACATTCCAATTTGGTGGAGACCTCACAAACACATTCAAAGCAATTCAATTTGCAAGGTAAGTTTTGATGTTAAAGGCCAACATTTTGGTGCCATGCATGTGCTAACAAGAAAACAGAAAGAAAAATAATATACCTGGAAGCCACACTTTAATGAGAACTAATAAAAAAGACATGTCTAAGCATTGATGTGAATACTTTGAGAAAGCACTTCAGAAATGATGTGAAAAATTTTTAACTCTAGCATTTTTATAAGATGTGACATGGTTTTTATATTATTTCATGAGTTAAATGCAATGAGATCTTAGATTAAAATATTAAGAAATGAAGAAATCTGCCCTTTAATATTTATCATAACACCACAAATTAAGCCATTAATGCTCAAATTAAACCAATGAGCATTAATGCAAATTATCGAGACCCATAAAATTTTAAACATTATTGCTTGGATTGAGTTGATTGAGCTTTTCATACTTCTAACAACCTGTGATGCATAACATTGTCCTCATTCTCATTTTTTTCTCACTTTCTCTATATTTTCAGCTCCATTACCTCCACCTTTACTTGATGTAACCAGATAGCTTTATAAAAATTCTGTACTCTGCAATTGTTAAAAAAAAAAATGAGAACAATATACTTGTCTTCCTTTGAAACCTACTTTGTGCCTTTTTCTGCTTGTGAATAGCTTCTTTCCAATACCGTAATTGCTTGAAAAGAGTACCCACAACCCCTCCCTGTATTCCCTACAAACCTAGAGCTCTCGCACTAGAGGAGCATGGCCTGCGGATCTTTCTAGCTCAGTAGTCGTGTCTCCAGGCTCATCCATTAGCTCCTCTGAACATTTGATACAGATGAACAGACACTGCCCTTCTGAACCCAGTGGAACACCACAAATTTCTGGGATCCTTGCCAACTTGCTGTCAGCAACTTTTGCCTCGTCATTGGCTCTTTCTCCTAGTTTTTCTCCATTGAACAGAGGCTGCTCTTCCTCGTAACCCTTCTCTCTTAGGAATTGTATCCCCTCCCCTGACATCAGCATCAGTTTTGTGTGGGTCACCCCATTGCTATGTCAGCCCTGAACTCTCTCCTAATAGTCACACGTGCGTCTGGCTGAGGCTGGATGTTTGTATTTGGAGGGTTGGTTTACTTAGCAAATTCAGCATGTCCTAAAATGGCCTTATTCCTTTCCCTGCCACTCCTCGTGACTTTGCCATTTTGGTTCATAATACTACCTACTTCTCCAGTCCTTCAGACAAAATGACTTTTTATTTTTCCCAGTTTTCGTTATCTTTCCATTTCTTTCTAGATCACATATCTGCACAGTAATCACATCCTGCCATTTCTATTCCTGCCTTTCCCATATTACCTCTTTTCTTTTTCTGTGTACATTTTGGTTGTTGCTTCCATCAACTGATGACTCTTCATATGTCTCAAAGGCAGATTCCCCATATTTCTTGTCTCTGTGAAGTTGACATTTTGGGCCAAGTCGCCTCATACACTGCTGTCATTCAGTGTGTCAGCTGTCTCTAGGCTCAGTGTCCTTTCAAGGGGACTTCTTTAGGATTGGCAACTCCTGAGGATCCCTGTTTTCACAGGGAGTATGGGTGTGGTATTTGCGATTAGAAGTAGCCAGGAGCTTGGCAAGCCTTCCTCTCCAAGGTAATAGTTAACTGTGTGTTGAGAAAGGACTAGTCTGGCTTTCGTCATCTTTTCAAAACTTTGATTTTCTCCCTTGTATCATCACTTTTTTTTCATGCTAACATGATTTAGTCCCCTATTGCTAAAAGAATCACCTAACTTCTTACTCTTTTCTCCCATTGTCTCTTCCTCTCTCTCTCCTTACCTTTCTTCTTTCATCTCCTTAAAATACTCAATATATTTCTGACACATTGAGTAAATAGTGTCATGTTTTCATTCACCTTACTTCTGAGTGCTTAAGCTTGCAATTTATTGCTCCAAGGTCTTCAGGGAAAGTTAAAATTAAATGAGGTACTGCTTCAGTCCTCAAAACTTTATAAACATGCTTAAAATCTACAGTATGTCATAAAGGGTATATACTTTACTCACAAAGGATTTGATGAGTATTATAATTCTAATATGTGTGGCTGGAAGCTATGGAAACTACATTTATATTTTTTATAATAAAAGTACATAAAATGTTTCAGAAAATAAATTTTAAGTACATTGACCTAGCATACTCATAACATATTCTAGCAAACATTGAATATATAAATTTGAAGAAGAAAGAGATGAACAGAAAATATATAGATGGCAAAGTATTCTATAGGTGGTAGTTTTTCCAAAATAGTTAGTGGCATTACCCAGAAAGAATGTGTGACAGGACAACAGTTCAATAGACAGAGGGAAAATAAATTGTTGGACAACTGGCCAGGTATCTAGAAACAAAATCAAGCTGAAAACTTTACTCTTCACATCAAAATGAATTTCAACTGGACCAAATTTTTAACCTAAGACAACCAAACTATTAAAGGTTTATGAAACTTGTGAATTTAACATAAATTTTTTGGATATAAATCTGTAAAATATCATGTCAAGAACAAGAGATAAAAAACAAGATTAATGACTTTGATTTTATCCCCATTACCAAAACAAAAGATTAATGACTTTGATTACATGAAGACCTAAAATTTCTTTATAGTGAAATCCAAAAGATAATCAATGAACTGAGGGAAATTTTGTATTATTTCTCAATTAATCACAGTGCCAAATTCTAAAAATTTTAATAATCTTCATTGGTGGGGAACAGGTAATTACATTCTTACTACTACAAAAACAGTAATATAAATTGACAGAAATGTCAGACAATTTATGTTATCTACTAGAATTTGAAATGTATATATAAATTCTACCCTAATAATTTCACTGAGTATCTATCCCACTGATACATTTTAAAAAGTATGAAAAAATACATACTGGGAATATTTCCATATCATTGCTTGTATATGTCAAAATAGCCTAAATTTCCAGTAAGAAAGAATGAGTTAAATGAACTGGTGTCGTCAAATAATTAAATATTATGTAGAGGCCAGGGATTTAGCTCAGTGGTTCTGCCACTTGTCTTGCAAGCACAAGGACCAGAATTTGACGCCCAGTAAAAAAATAAATAAATAAAAAAATAAAAAAAATATATATATATATGTGTGTGTGTGTATGTATGTATATAATATGTATATAACTTATATACATTATATATATACATATAATATATATTATGTAGATATTAAAAAAAGAATAGGGGCTTTATATATTCTGATGTTGAAACTTTCCATAAGAATAAAAAAAACCCACTTGAATTTAAAATGTGTCTTTATTTGTATAAAACCTTCAGAGGTAGCCAAAGTATAATAAATAAAACATTTTCTAGGAGTAAGCATAAGAAACTGAGATTAGTGATCACCTCTGGAACAGGGGCTTAGTGTCAAAATTTTTTTATGCCTTTCGAAATAGTTTAAGATTTTTTGATCATGTGTCTAACTTTTTTTGAAAAAAGTAACTGTTGGAAAAGTAAACACGAGTCCAATTAGTTAAATTTATGCCCATAGTGTTTTTGCTCTGTTGACTAATACTAATTAATTTAACCTTCTTATAGAAAGTTATTCTAAGGAATCCTGGACTAAACTCACACACACACATGACATGAAAGTACTTTTTAGTGTCAAACAAGAATTTTACTTTGATGTGTTATTCTACAAGCTACGGATACTGTAGAGTGCTTTTAACACCAATATCGACATAACTCTAATTCTAACTCATGATAGGTTGGGCTTGGAGAAGCCAGTGTCTTATTTCTGTTTCAAACATTCACCCATTGATAGTGAGTCTTCTACCTCCCACAGAACTGCCGCTTATTCAGCAGCTTCTGGTGGTCGGCCAGGTGCTACCAAAGTAATGGTGGTTGTAACCGATGGAGAATCGCACGATGGTTCAATGTTGAAATCTGTGATTGAGCAGTGCAACAACGACAATATACTGAGGTTTGGCATAGCAGTAAGTGGCTTTTCTCTGTACTTGTTTTACAGTTGATTGTATATGTTCCTAGATGGCATGAGTGTTTAAGCCTGCACTTTCTCACCGACTGGTAGTTTATCAAAAAAAGTTTTTACTGGCTCCACTTCATGCTGATTTTCAGTCCCGTCAACCAAGTAAATGGTTGTAGTAGGAATGCTGCTTGATTTGCTTTTCCGGAGGATGTGTGATGTTTAGAAATTGACTAGAATATGCAAATTGGAAAATGTAGTACAAAGGAATGACTTTTTCTCCTCTTCTATTATTTTCCAGGTTCTTGGGTACTTAAACAGAAATGCCCTTGACACTAAAAATTTAATAAAAGAAATCAAAGCAATTGCTAGTATTCCCACAGAAAGATTCTTTTTCAACGTATCTGATGAAGCAGCTCTACTAGAAAAAGCTGGGACATTGGGAGAACACATTTTCAGCATCGAAGGTAAAAGAATGTTTTTCAGGAATTTTCTTCCAAAATTTTTTAAAAGTTTTTGTTATTTTATTATCACATCTTAGTCCTATTAATGTTAACTTGTGCACCTTGTATAAAGGCAACTCCTACAGATCCATAAAAAAAAAAGACAAATTAATTTATAAAAGAAAATACAAATGGCCAGTAAACAAGAAACTATTCCCAATTTCAGATATTTAAATATATAAATTCAACTACTACTATGTTTTGTCTAGAACATGGCACAGTTTATATTTAATTTTAGAGAGATTACTTAGAAGCAAACAAAGTTATACACAGTTGGTAAGACGAGAAGTTATTATAACTTTTGAGAGACAATTTAATAATATAATCATAGTTTCAACTCTATTATGTTACATAATTTCTGAAGTTCTTAAACTTATTTATAATAATTATATATGCTTTTAAAATTATGAAAATACAGTGAAAATTTCAATTATTTAATTTCAAAGACATATTTATTGGACTTAAAGTAATTTACTATGTGGCTTTGGAAAGTCTAATCAGTGTAGAAATATCATGTATCCAGAAGTTCAATATACAGAGGATTGGAACACACTATATAGTGTGTAAAATCTCACATGACTTAAATTTTGGTTCCAGATGTTAAATACAGCTAACTCTCAGCAATGAAGAAGGTGTTTTATTGAGCACCTACCCATTAGGTACTACTTAGAAGGGGACTGCGTAAATCTATTTATTTATTTATTAGTATGGGGGATTGGACTCGGGACCTTATGTGAGGCAGGTGGTGGAACCACTGAGCTAAATCCCCAGTTGTGCATAATTTAAAAAGCCCATTGCTGTAGTCAAATTTTGACCTCCTCTTTGTCCACTGAAATTTCTGTCCATTTTTATTACATCTTAAATATCCACTGATATTTTTAAGTTGTTTAAATTCTTATCAAAATGTAATTTTTCCTGAGATAATATAAAATTATTAATGCTATCAATGCTTGTAATCCTTTTTGTTTTTTAGGGGCATGAATAGAACAACTGTATGTAATCTGAAAGCTAACTAGAAATGATTCTGTACATTATCTGCTATGATAGACTTTAAGGAGCACCGTTCTATTTTATTAAAAAAGTGCTCTATTCATCCTGTATAAATTGTTACATCTTCTAAACAAGATTGTGTCATATAGTACAATTTCTTCTTCATTGCAGTGTCAGTCCAAGATTTAGTTTTCTTGTTGTGAGTATTAATGAAGTATAAATTTTGATCACAAGCAAACTATATGGAAAATGAACGAGTATTAATTGAGTTTTACCATGTTACAGACAGAGACAAGCCCATATATAAAACTAGGACAGACTTACCAACTGGAAAAATACTTACCCATTCTTGAATCCTAGTTCCTTGTGGCTAACTCAAATATCTCTCATCATAGTCCTCACTAAAAATCAATCACCTACCTCCGCTAACTGCAACTGAGATATTTGTGTGTTTAGTAGCACCACCATTTGAAAGCTAAAAATTCAGTTAGTTTCTTAGCTAGTAAAGATGAATTAAAAATAAAACTGTGACTTCGATATTCACTTAACCTCATATCCTTCTTCAGTTGAGGGTTTTTGGTGTTAGAAATTCCGTGAGTATCACATTAAATACATTAATACCCAATTAATATTAATATTAAAGCCAACTTTGAACACTACCTTGGAAGTTTCATAGATTTCTATAATTTATTACAACACTTTCTCAGTGCTTTTCTCTTCCCAGAATCCTCTGCTATATATTGTTGGGTGGATATTAGAACACTAGATGTGTGGGTGCATGTGTATGTGTGTAGATGTCTGTCTGTGTTTGAAAACTTGAGCTAGAATTGCTGATGGTAATATAAATTCTGAAACCCATATTTCCCAGGTACTGTTCAAGGAGGAGAGAACATCCAGTTGGAAATGTCCCAAGTTGGATTCAGTGCCGATTACTCTCCCCAAAATGTGTGTATATTAGATAATTTCATATTGTTCTTTGGCATGATTCTTCCAGGTGCAGTAGTTTATACATAAAGCAGCAAAAACAGTCACCTAGTGCCTAATAATTCTGGTTTATAGAACTCACAGTTGTTAGGCTTTTTGTGTTACTGACTTACCACCTATATCATTAAGGTTAACAATGTCTTCCCTTTTCTATTTCCAAAGAATTTTCTATGGGGAAAAATAATATACATGAAATATTTTACCTGCTCCAAGGCACACACAGTATCTTAATTCTCAGTATTATCCCTGCAGGAATTTCCTTTGAATCAACTAACTATTGCAAACATTTGTCAGAAGCACAAACTCTTGTCATCTCTGACATTATTACCTTCTGAGTTGCCTTATTATCATTTTCTAAGAGAAGAGGCAAAATAGTTGAAAAATGAAGGAGTTAACAAATCTGAGATGGAATTGGAGTATGTCATTGTCTTTTCAGCTCTGGGAAGTTCATTCTTCTTTGTCAGAAATACTCCCTCCAACTCTCTGATTCTCATTCTCCCAAGGATATGAATGGAGTAATGGAAAGAGCAAAAAAATATGAGGTTGTGGGAGATATTTAGGAAACAACATGAATTCAGAGGCAAATTCAGAGGCCCCAAGAAGGGCTCATTCTCTGCCTAGAATAAAAGGTATTAAATTTTTCTGGATCAGCAATCCTTAGAGATGCTCACAAGAGTTGAGTGTTTCCCATAGAAAAAATGTAAATGAATCTATGTGCAGAGCATTTCACATAAAATTATGTGAGGTATTGTACATTTCCTAGAATTCATTCATGAACCTTCATTCAGAGTCTGTGATTTTATTATGCTCATTTGCATAATTTCTTGGTCTTTTATTCTCAAATTGGGACACATCATTTCCCTATTTAGTATTTTAAATCTGAAATCATAGCCATGCTTTGTAATATCTAACGTCAAAAACTTAAAAATAACATCCTCCCGGTTCTCCAGTACACCTCCTTTGGTGATCTGTATCTGTATTTAGATCGGGTTTGAGCCCATACAGAGTAGCCTGGTTTCCTTGACCACTGACCTAAGAAAAACCCTGGCCTATTTTCCTTCCAGTAGATTGACTGCCACAGCTAGAAGAGCACTTCGTAGCTGTAGTATTATTAAATAAATAGGATATCAAAATAGATGCCAGAGGAACATTTCAGGAAGGACTCAAGAGAGGAAGTTGAAAATACGGCAGGTCAGAACCGGGCCTGCGAAAGAGCGGCAGCGTGCCTCTCCCTCCTCTGGGCTCAGCACTTCCTATTACTCGAGCATGTCTCATATCCACTGAGGTTCTTCTAGTGAAATGTGGAACTAGAGGTTTCCCTTCTGACTCCTTTCCAGAAGCCTAGAAGGGTTCCCCATGTACAAATGTATAAATTTCAATGGAAATTTGAAGATGGCTCTGTAATTTCTGTTCATTGTAAAGATTTATCTATATCATATGCCATAGTAAGTACAGCCCAAGATAACATAGCCAATGGTAGGGTTTAGTTTCCATTATAAATTAATTAAAGCAGTTCTGAGATATACCACCATACATTTATATGTGTTTTATGTCATTAAAGCTTATTTTTCTTAAATACAGACAATTTATTTCATTGTGTTGCCTACTCTTCATTTTCAGTCTTCATTCTTAAAGGTGATTTTTCTTAATGATCTTCATTTTTCAATTATTTTAGGATATTCTGATGTTGGGTGCAGTGGGAGCTTTTGACTGGAGTGGGACTGTTGTTCAAGAGACTTCTCATAGACACTTAATCTTTCCTAAAGAAGCCTTTGACCAAATTCTGCAAGATAGAAATCACAGTTCATATTTAGGTAAGGCATAACAGCGTTTGGCTCAGCAAACTAAAGTTTCCTTCCTTTAAACGAGCTCCTTGTTGAATCTCAGGGTCAGCTCATAAAAACCTCTGGACTGCCACCTAATGTACATTTTCAGTATTCATTACAAAGTGCCTCTGTGCCATCAAGCTTCCATTCATAGCTACCCTAATGAAGCACTGTGTTTTATTCACAAATCTCTATAGCTGCTCAGTCAGTTGTAACTCCTAGAATATGATTGTGTTTCTCCAAAATGGAAATTTTTCAAAAAGTTAGTACACTAACCTATAGTCTTACATTATTTTAGAGTTGCTAGTACTTTTGTTTCTTTGAACACCTTTTGTGAGGTAGTTCCTGGGTTGGTTATTCTACCTACATAAACTTTGAAATCATACCAAAATTCTTTTACAATCAGAGTTGCTACCAATTTGCTTAAAGTTAAGCAATCCAGTAAGTAGCAAATTCAGAATTCAAGTCCGAGATTGTGACTCGGAATCTATGGCTGGCTCTATAGGTGAATTTCTGCCTATGCTGGACATTGCTAAAAGAGAAAGGGCAGGAACAGTTCATTTTAGAAATGGCCAGAACTTTCAGTGGTACACTCAGAAGCACCAGGAACTGTATATCACACCTAACACAAAAGGACCTCTGATCAGCTCTACTTTGCAAGGCTTATCTGTCTGTGATAGTCATGTCACTAATTCTGTGACTCTTCCCTTAGGTTACTCTGTGGCTGCAATTTCTACTGAAAAAAGTGTCCACTTTGTTGCTGGTGCTCCTCGGGCAAATTATACTGGCCAGATAATTCTATACAGTCTTGATGAGCATAGCAATGTCACGATTATTCAGACTCACAGAGGGGATCAGGTACATATCATTGTTTAGCAGGTAAAATGAATTCTATGGACAACCAAAGCAGGTGGTAAAGTTGAATGGGTAAAAATGGAAGCTAACGTTTATTGAATGATGCCTCTATGTTTGACTTTCTACTTTGAATTTATGTGTACAGGTATATGTTAAATCTTCCCAACTACATTATCTACTATCCCTTTTTTTGTCAGGTTATTGAAAGTTTAGCTGGCTTTTTAAGATACACAGTTCTATTGGAGTTGAGCTATCATTACAACCTAATTCTGTCTGGCCTCAAGTCCTTTGCTGTTTGGTTACACCTCCATCCATAGTTTTGACTGCCCAGAGTATTAATTTGTGGTTATTACTTAGTCTTGATGGCAGAGATCTAACCACAGCTTTGCAGTCAAGTCCATGCTAGGAGCCAAGGATCTGGAGGAGAAATAATGACAAAGGAACAGTATAACATCATAAGAATGAAATGTCTACATCTGGGCCTGTGAATGTGTCCTGTTGTCCTTGATATTTGTAAAAAAGTCAAACAAATCTTTTATCTGTCACTTTCTATTTAATGTGTGGCCATTTGGTCAGACTTTATGATAAATTCCAGTGTAGCCCTTTGCAGCAAATATCATTGTTTAGCTGGTAAAACTTTTTTTTTTTTTATCAGAGCAATGGCTCCTGTTTCCTTTCTAAGTAGTTCTAGCCCGTGGGCTTTGTACCTATTTAAACCAAGCATCCCTGATCTCTGACAACCAGCAGAAATTGGTCTCCTTCCTTGAGTCAGAAAAACTAACTGCAGATTTCTGTTCTCTAGAATTACATCTGATCCTGCTGTTGCTCTGAATTTTCTAGAGTATAACCTGAATTCTTGACTTCAAGAACTAGTTTTGGTTATGTACTTTTCCCTCCTCTTTCATATTTTAAGAAAGAGTGTATTTATGTCGAGAAGAAGCACGGCTGTGTTATGGAAGCAATTGCTTCTTATCAATTTCTAAATCCTTAAGAAATGTTCACACAGGCATGAGTCAAACATTGGTGAACGGGATGAGCCTTCATACTCCCAGTCTCTTTCACTGTATGTGCATCTACTTCCACCCTAATCTCTCTGGCAACTACTTACCTGTCCCAGACTATGCCATGGACATACCACTCATTCTTTCCCATTTCTTGCCACCTAAAAACTCTTTGTCTTCCTTCAGAAGCAATTCAGATAATACTTTATCTTTCTCAGCATCCTGACTCCCCCCTACTCTGATCACTCAGCCTTAGGGATTTGCTGTATTGCGGGATATTTTACCACAGAACCACAGTGATTTGTTTCCACTGCCTCTGCTTCTCCTACCTTTCTCTACAGCGTACCTCACATTAAGGATTTCTCTCGTGAATGTGGTCTTTGGCCCTCCACTCTCAGAAATACCTTGAGTGCTTATTTTAAAATGCTTTTTTCCCCATTTTTGTCTACTGAATGAATTAATAAAAATTTATTAATATATGTATATAAATCCCAAGAATCCTAAGGTTAATATATTTTACTACTTCAGATTGGCTCCTATTTTGGTAGTGTGTTGTGTTCAGTTGATGTGGATAAAGACACGGTTACAGATGTGCTCTTGGTAGGTGCACCAACGTACATGAATAACCTGAAGAAAGAGGAGGGAAGAGTCTACTTGTTTACTATTGCAAAGGTAAAAAAAATTAAGCTGACAATTTAATATGCATCTATATTGATAAAGATTTGCATTTGAGAGTTAATTTGAATAATTATTTTGCATGTTTAGTACAATTTATATTTCATCAGTTTGAGAAAGTCTGCATTAAGTTCTGATTTTTAAAATCACAGCAAAAGTCATAATGAGAGTTTAGTATATACTGTATTACTATTTCCATGAGAGTTTTCTGAATATATTTCTCTTACATAAATAAAAACATTATAAATACACATCATTTTTTGAAATGAACATCATTTTTTAAATTATACATACACGTATATATAAACCTTGAACATTTCAAGTCTCACAATTTTTTTAAAAAAGATAATAATTTCAGATGCTTTTTACATTAGTTTGCCATGCAATTCTATTATTTAGTATAAGTAGGTATATAGCCAACTCTCAGAATTTCAAAACTTAGCCCACCCTATCAAAGAAAAATATGACTTTTCCAACTTGCAGGCTAAACTTTCTAAATCTGTGTAGGTAAGTGTAATGAACACAGTGAAACCAGAAAACCTAAGTAAAGGCATGGATTGACATAGAAAATTAGATAACTATAGAGAGAAAAAGAGAGAGAATGTAATATATAGTAAAGATTATGGTCATTTGCTTGTGATATTTTGTCATATTATATTTATATTAATTGAAATTAACCTTTTAGTAGAAGCAATTAAAACAGTTCTAATTATACATATAAACAATATTTAATTGCATAAAAGAAGGGTATATCTAATTATTTGAAAGTTTAATAAATCTCTGGTTACTTGGATGTTTTTTGCATGTCAGATATTCCAAGCTGTCATTAATTGAAGATGAAAACATCCCTTAATACCTTATCAAAATCAAGGCCAAATTCATGAAATTGTAATAGAAGAGAAAGAATTGACACTGAGCCAATTTCATTGTTGAGAGCATGGTTTTCTTGTGAAGTGATGAAATATTTCCAGACTGATTACAAGATCTGAAGGAAAAAATGTGTATTTTACCAGGAAATGTCTTTTCCTCTGGACAGAATTATTTAGTGTTTCTTTTAATGGAATATTAACAATCTCATTTTCCACTTCCTATTCCATTATAATTATGCCGCTACCAGTAATTTTTAAGTAAAACAAATTATCATGTTTTATTTTAGTGTGTGTTTAACTTAATTTCATTCAAGATACCACATTTTTATTGGGTAATTTTTAAATTAAGGGAAACAAGTGAAGGTATTAGGAAAAAGTGGAGATAAAGGAATGAATGCTTTTATCTAAGTTGTTCTGCTACTGAAAAGGAAATTATTCATGTATCCTGGGCCAGGGATTTAGCTCAGTGATGCCACCACCTGCTTCACAAGCACAAGGTCCAGAGTTTGATCTCCAGTACCAAAGAAAGAAAAGAAAATTAGCTCTTCTCACCTTGGCTTATGAGTAGATTTCCTGTGGCCTTACTCACTGAAATTTGTATTTATAATTCTCATTATGAATGGAAGAGTTTGAATACTATATGTAAAACTGTCAATTTTAAACATTTTGCAAATGATCTTGAAATCAATTGCTCTGAATTTTTGTATAAGCTAATGTTTGCCTTAATTATCCTTTTTTCTCTTTGCAAGGGCATTTTAAATCAGCACCAATTTCTTGAAGGCCCTAAGGGCATTGAAAATGCCCGCTTTGGCTCAGCAATTGCAGCTCTTTCAGATATCAATATGGATGGCTACAATGATGTGATCGTGGGCTCACCTTTAGAAAATCAGAATTCTGGAGCTGTGTACATTTACAATGGTGATCAGGGCACCATTCGCACAAAGTATTCCCAGGTAGTCAATGAGCTACACAATAATATATTTACATGTGAATATCATCATGGTCAAATTAGAGAGTATCATGTATATAATAGAATCCATCCCACTTATTGTATAAACATCATTTATTCACTCAGGAAATATGTAATGAGTCTTCATTACGTTCCAACAACTGTGGATGCTATAAAGAGTAGGAAAGACAGAATTCTGCTCTTCATATGCCCTATGTTCTAAGAGAAGAAACAAAAGGTGGGGGGGGAGCCTAGATAAATAGATAAAATGTTCCACTAGTAATAAATACTAAGGAATAAAAACAAGAAAATAAAGCTTGCATAGGGAGTAGCATTTCAAGGATGAGAGGTATCATCAGGTGTTTGGCTAAGAAAGACTCTCTGAGTAAACCTGCAGAAAGACTATACCACGCACTTTTTCACTATTTTGTGCTGGTTGTAATTTTGAATTAAAGATTAATGCTATGTTCAGATGAAAACATAGCTGCAAAGGTGATACAGAGATCAGATAAGATGTGATTTTCAAAAATCAATGGATTGTGGAGAATAAAGCATAATTGGAAAATGAAACAGAGAATATAATGAAATAATGTAGCAGTTGTCATTTTTCTAGTTGAGCCTTTGGGCACTATAATTTTTTTCATTGAATTTATTGGCACTTTTTAAGTATACAATACAGTTACATTTATCATTGGGATCTTGTACCTTTACATGGTATATCTTGGTTGTCATTTTTTTCCCCATACCCCTGCCTCCCCAATCCCCTATTTACAAAGACTTTATTTCCATTTTTTCCCTTTCTCATATTTTTTCTTTGGGCACTATAATTTTATGTCAAACTTGCTTTTTCAGAAAATCTTGGGCTCTGATCGAGCCTTTAGGAATCAACTCCAGTTCTTTGGGAGATCCTTGGATGGCTACGGAGATTTAAATGGGGATTCCATCACTGATGTGTCCGTTGGTGCTTATGGACAAGTGGTTCAACTCTGGTAAGTTTGTCAATGCCAGACATGAAATAGCTAGCCACAAAATGACTAGTTGTGCTGTTATTTAAAAATGCAACATGCATTATATAAGAGCATACGGCATTTATATATTATAGTTTATATAAAAGATAAAATGAGTTTTTTCTTGGAGATAAATACTGCATATAGAGGGTGAAGAAAACTTGATTCTAATGTTGATTCAAATGACATATATATATGAATCAAATTTTTCTTTTCTACGTGGTGAAAGATACAATGCATAGAAATGAAAAACCCTTGAAATGATATCCTGATATTTTTACATTTTATTCTCTTATTAACATCCTTATCTCACCTTACAACAAGGAAGCTTTATAAAAGAACACTGAAAATACTGAGCATTCAAATCACATAAGTAAAGTAAAATTTCATATGTGGTTAAAAGGTATATTTTAAAATTATTAGTCATAAACAAGAAGCCATTATTTAGGATTATCTGACTTCTCATTGACCTCTGTAGGAGTTGAAGAATGAGGGCGAAAGAAGGCATTCAGCAGCCTTGTGATTCAAAGTAAAAAAAATACGTGGATTGATGAGGGACTGGAATTAGAACAAAGTTGATTATGCAGTTAAAAGTCCCCATTCATTTGTTCATCTGTACTAAAAATGTGCTTTTAATGCCCAAATATATTAAAAGCAGAAAAACATATTTATTGATATTTTGTAATTTCTGAGTTTAACTATGCTATACAAATCTCCACATTATTTTTATTACAGAATGAAATTACTGTATTATGTGGTAACAGTAAAACCCATGGATAGTATTAGGACTATGAAAAGCAAGAAAATGTATTTGCTGAGTAAACTTAGTTTAAATCACATAAGAATAGCATGCCAAGAGTAAATGCAAAATGTGATATAACTATATGGCTTATTTTAAAATGATTTAATAGAAAATCATACCTCTCAGTGAGCATCTTGGTAGACTACATGGGTGGTAGCGTACATATTTATGAAATAACACTCCTTAATATAGCAATGTCCAAACCTTTCTCTTTGAATTTGACTTAAAAAAAAAGTGAAGATTCATGAAGTTAAATCAATATACTGAGATGACTAGTCAAGTCAGGCTAGTATGGTTTTGTGGCTACATTCCTGTGCAGTGCTTAGGCTGGCTTTACTGGGTAATTCCCTAAGAATTATTTTTTGAATAAATGTACAACATATGCAAATCAAAGACATCTCTCTTGAAATAAGTGCTCACTCTCAAAAAAAGAGTGCCTTAAAGAAAACATCCACTAAATAATTTTAGATTTATAAATTTGAGGACATTTTGCACTTGTTATTAAATGTTTTATGACTGCTTATTAAGAGGCCTGATAGATACATACTATCTATTGAAATAACTTTTCATTTGCCTGGCGTTCTTCAGGTGGTACCTGAAATTAAAAGGAAATGTTTTCTGTATCTTTCTGTGGCACTTTGCAAAACAAGGAAAGTACTAATTATGTTTTGCTCTTTTATAAAGACTTAAAGATACACACAGGGGGCTATGACGATGAAGTACAAATTCCAGTTATGCAGGATTTAAGCGACTGTGGGTTCTAATAGTTCCCTGGCTAGTAATCAGTAAACTGGTAAGACACCAAGCATCAGTGTCCTGGGCATTTTCACTGATGAAAAGGAGATAATAGGTGTTTTACCTACTTCATAGGAGTGTTATGAGGAGCAAATGAAGATATTGGTTTGCAAAGGGCTGCCCCAGGGTCCAAAATCTATGGCACCCTGCTGAGCTGGACTCATCAGTGTTTTACTGGCATCAAACTACTTGCCAACATTATGGCCATAAGCCATCTTTCAAAGGATTTCTATCAACCACTGAAGCATCAGGGAAAAAGCCATGACCACCCTCCACTGCTGTGCCACTTCCACTTTCCCACCTTCCTTTTCCCTTTTCTTCCTGGGAAGATAAAAATAATACTGCTTCCATCTGCCAAAACACACTAAAACCACACCTTACGGCCTCACTTGCAAACAGGCTGCAGATTTCCATCTGTGCTCCTGCTTATTTAATAAAAATGCTACATGCGGTCTGTGATGGTGATGCAGTCATAAACATGAAAGATGTTGTCTCTGCCTGCCATCTTAGTGCTTTCAAATAGAAAATACTGCCAAAGTGCTCAGATAGAGAGTGGAAAGAAAAATGTGTTAGTGCTGGTGCTAGGTGCTCTATGTAGTGGCCGTGTGTGGGCTCAGTAATAATATCCATGTGCCTGTTTTCATTTATGTCTTTCAGGTCACAAAGTATTGCTGAGGTGGCTGCAGAAGCTTCATTCAGTCCAGAAAAAATCATTTTGTTCAACAAGAATGCTCAGATAGTCCTCCAACTCTGCTTCAAGGCGAAGTTTAGACCTACTAGCCAAAACAATCAAGTGGGTGGGTAACCAGAAATAACCTGGACAGAGATAGGCTTGATTATAGTTTTAGCCCTGAATGCAACCTGTGTCTTGGTTTTACTTGCAGGCACTTAAATTACCACACATTTAATGTGCCTGAGAATGGTCCATTAAGCATGCAGTGTTTTTTAGATCTTTCTCTCTCATCTCTAGAGGTGACATTCTGCTGTAAAACATTGTAATCTCTGTGGCATAGTCATAGGCCCCCTCAAACTGTATCCTTTGAATTTCTCCTACTCACAGATACCTTAAATTCTTACACCAACTTCTCTGAACTGCTGCTGATTTTAAATAAGCATGCCACATACTGCCTGGGGCACGATGGGGGTAGGATGTGTTAAAGTATCAAATTCTGTTCCTGTTCTTGAGGAACTAGTGAACATGAAATAATGGAAAAGATGATATAATTCATGTTCATCATTTAAAGTTTTCTAAATAATCCAGAAAACTGAGTAAAAGCCACAAGTGTGTCCCCTGAAACAGAAGAACGAAAAACACTGTGGGCAAATGTCAGTAACAATCTTCCTATCTCTCCTGGACTGGTCAAGTCATATTTCATAACCTGGCTGAGGTCTCACATCTTCTTTCTTTAAAACTAATTAAGTTTATCGGTACATTTTAGTTATATGTAATGATCACATTCATCATAGAAAGTTTGTACCTGTACATGATATATCTTGATTTTTTTTTCTTCTTTGAAGTTTTATCCAGTAACTCTATCTCATCCTCATCCCTGTGCCCCAATTACCGGAGCAGTCTCTGTAGGCAGCATGCAACCTAACACTTGATCAGAAGCCACCTTTTCCCTCCTGCTGTTACTTCATGAGTTCCAAACCCCTTTCCATCAGATTTTGGCTTTAAACTTCAGAACCTGTAATTCCTACAAGGATTTAATTAAGCAGTAAATAAATAAAATAGCTTAAAGACTGAAAATATTCAGGTAAATTTGCCATGATTTATACCAAGAAATAAACAAGAACCTTAAGGAGAAGTCATATTCACATTTGGCTTAATTTCCTATTTTCCTCCTTTTATATCCACCTGAAACTTTTCCTTTCAAGTGTTCCTATATTGACCCATTTGGGAATAATAAACATCACAGACCTGCTTTAGAGCACACGTTCATTTGCGTAGACCTGATAGTTAAGTCAAAAAACACTGTTGTATAAACACTAAGTTACTGGTCTGCCTAAAACATTAAATTGGAAACTATATCACTTGGCAGGAATAGCTGCTACTCAGCTGCCTTGGCTCTGAAGCACGAATATGTCTTGTGTATCTTCCATATTTTGACTAGAGTTCATCTTTTCTGTCGCTGCATATTCAAAACTTCTACTTTCAGGGACTTTCCTTTCTACTGACTGGTTGCTAAGTGTCCCTGGGCTTTCTAACTATTGAGCACATCTTTCCTCCTGATATGATTCGCACAGATATGACCATCTGGCACTTTATTGCTTGGCAATAGTAATGTGGTAAGACGTGAATCCTGTCTTTACAACTTTGAAAAGTGAATCTGTAAAGCATAAGGTTTCTGCATATTTATTTATTGCATCAGGCCTGGTCTTAGTTACTTTCTCATGGCTGGAATACAACACCTGGCACCCACAATTTAGAGGAGGACAAGTTTCTTTTGGCTCACAGTTTGTAGAGTCTTCAGTCTAGAGTCAGGTGGTTCCAAGGCAGGGCATCACGACAAAGGGGCCTGGCAGAGGAGAAGGAGGTCATGGCATGCCTAAGGGAAACAGAGAAAGAGATAAGGGAAGAGGAAAGGAGACAGACCTTTCCAGGACACACACACACACACACACACACACACTCTCTCTCTCTCTCTCTCTCTCTCTCTCTCTCCAACCCAGGCTTCACTTCCCAACATCACATTCAGCTATAAATTCATCAGAGTCCTGATCTACTGATGAGTGCCACACCCCATGATCCAATCACCTCCCCAAATCTCCACCTATGAGAACATGGGGGACATCTAGATATAAACCATAACAGGTACCAACTCAAATTTAAAGTTAACATTAAACATTCATCTCTCTGTTTCGTAGATGAAGAACAGATTCAAAAAGGTGAAGTAAATCGCTCAATGTCACAAAGCCCATTGACTGTGGAATTAGGATTCAAACCAAGTCTGACTCAAACCTTGCTGAAATGTTGAATGTCTTTCCCTCTGGAAACATCTAAAATGTCCCAAGTGCTGTACATGTTCTTTTGAAGGGTCTCATTTAATCTTCTCAATAGTATGTGTACCCTTACAACAGCATAGAAACAGAAAAAACATAAACTTTTGTTTCAAAGGTACCAAATTTTTATTTCTGACCATGTTCCAGCTGTGTGAATTTAGATGAATCATTTTACATCTTTTATCCCAGTTAATTATCTGAAAAATATGATGACAGGGTCCCCTTTCCACATTTGCCATAAAGCTTGAATAAAATGCCATATGAGGATGTCTTCCACTGAATCCCTTCAGTAACTGTCTCTTCTTGTCTGTATCTCCATGTGCATGAGGGAGTGAGTAATTTGCCTGTTTTATGGAGTGTATTTCCTTGTGACAAGTACAGTTTTCTGTCCTCTGTTCCAACTCACATTTCTCTGTATCACACTTCTTTGGATCTAGAGTCACCTAAATCATACCAGAGCAAGAATGTCAAACACCATATGGGGCTATCCTTGGTTTATAATCCACCAGTGTGAATTCTATTTCTATATTTTCTTAAAGTCAGTGACTTTGTCCAGTAAAATGCAACAAAGTAAGGGGGCTCTTTCTTTACAAGGTCATTTGTAATAATATTTCTTTATGATTTTTGTCATAGCCATTATGTATAACATCACACTTGATGCAGACAGATATTCATCCAGAGTAACCTCTAGGGGGTTATTTCAAGAAAATAATGAGAGAAACCTCCAGAAGAATATGGTGCTAAATGCAGAAAACAAATGTACTCAGTACAAGATTCACGTACAGGTGAGGCATCAGGGTCCTCTCTTTTCACCCCATTCTTCTTAAAAAATAGTGAGTGCTTGTACTGTATACCTAAAATGTAACAATAAACTCAATGAGAAAAAAAAAGAATAATGAATGCTGAAAGTCTAAAGTGGACACTATGTATTAGAAAGTTCTTGCCCTTCTAATTAATGTCTTTCTTATCTAATTCCTTGAACAGGGAGCATATTTCCTTTATGCTAAAACTTACATCATATTATATAAGTTAGTGTCATTAAATTTTATCAGGGATTGTAACTAAAAGAGCTAAAAATACTATTCTTAAGGAAATTGAAAACCCAATGCTTTCTTACATGTTTAATAGGGTGAACTTTAAATTAATAGTGGATTCTATTTTGAGATTTTTCCCATGGAGGAAATTTTTATTCTTTTTAAGCTACTGCAAATGGTAATTTCAATTGTTGTTTCCTCCGTTGCTTTAACATAAGGGAGTAATGGTGAATTATAGGGCAAAAATTATTTATTTTAATCTTATGCCACAATCACCACAGTTCTCAGGGATTTTGAGAATCTTCCAAATAGGAAAAAAGTTTCTCAGGTGAAATTTTCCAACAGGACATTTATTTTATAAGTTTTAGGAAATATTTGCCCTTAGCAACCACATATAAATATTTCAAAGTGTAATTTAATCAGGAAACTGATTTAAAAAGAACTGCTTAAGTATGTTCTTAAATTTCTCAGAGGCTAAGGTACACAAATGTTGCTAACAAAACATTTATAAAATCTGTATTTTGAGTTCCCCCTGCCAGAAATTTGGGCTTAAAGGAACAAAGAAACATGCAGGTTAAAAGGATACTACAGATATTCATGATGTAGATGGATGGTACAGAGATCACACTTCAAAAATGAAGAGTTGGAAAAATATCAATTGAATGGTTAGATGAATTAAACCCAGTTGTTATTTAATTAAAGGTTTCTTGTGTGTGTAGGACTGGATTGTTTGTTGTTGTTGTTATTATTGTTGTTGTAAGTCCCAAATATAAAGATTATTTGAAAAAAAAAAAAGCTAGCTTCATTCTTTTCTGTCCTGGGCCCACTGATAGATCAAATTGCACTTGTAATCTATCGTGAAGGATACAGGACAGTGTAGCTTGTCCTGTAAATTCTTATTCGCTATTTGCCATCAACACATTAAGTACACCCAATATGTCAAGCCCTCAGCCAGCTGAGGAGGCATTTCCCTGCAGCCAGGAAACTTGTAGTCAGCCCTGCCAAAGATTTAGGAGTAGATCCTGCCAGGGAATGGACTCAGTGATCAATGAAGATACTACTTCTCAGGAAGAGCAAATTCAATTTTTTAGAACTTTTCCCATTTGTACTGTAGATGCTATTTCTTCCTAACAAGAACTGACAAGAGATCTGTAAGATGATTGCTAGATGAATCCTACAACCCTGTTTTGACTTTTTTATGCTTTTCATTGAACAAAAAGCCTCAAAATTGGAGGGAGACCATGTCTCCTGAAATGCTGGGAATCCTCTACCCACTATACAGATGCAAAGTGAAGAAGTTGCACTTGTGTGTGCATAGGGCTGTGTTTATTTGTTGTGAAATGATAAACACATCATCTTCATGTGCAATGCAGGAGCAGTGCAAACCCACAATCATCCTTTCTATGTTGGGGAGGTTGGGGAGCCTGACTTAGGACACAGGAATCACTTTTGTCCTGACAAGAAAGGGTGTGTTCTTGTCCCTTGTGTGATAGCCAACCCTAGGCACTTTCCCTTCGGGTCACAGTGAGGCCTTCCAAGGGACACCTAAGAACTCTGAAGTCTTGGCGATAGGAATTGCAAGAGCATAGCCAAGGACCCCAAGGCCTGGGTACTTGCACAAGTGGTTTTTGATGATTAAAATTGAACAGATGATCTAAATGCTTATAATTACTTGTGTATAAATAATGAGATTATTGATGAGCTCCACTAAGAACCACTGCTTGGGATTTTTATTAGAACCAAGTCTCTTTAGGTTACTAAGTAGTTCAGAGGATAACAGCAGAATCAAGACAGAAAAGAGTGATCATGCAAAACAAGTATAGTCTATATAATGGTGCAATACTGTGTTCTTAATTATAACCACATCTTTGGTTGTTTCCTTGCTTCCTTGTTGTGCCTTAACCACAAACTGACTTGGGATGTGTGTGTGTGTGTGTGTGTGTGTGTGTTTAGAAACCCTCCGATGTTGTGAACTCTTTGGATCTGCGTGTGGACATCAGTCTGGAAAACCCTGGCACTAGCCCTGCACTTGAAGCCTATTCTGACACTGTCACAGTCTTCAGCGTAAGTGTTTCTTGCCCTTCCTGCATTTAGATTGGCTTACAAAGTCTCAGTCACTTCAATAGTGTTTACTTAGAACATAGGATATAGCCTTAAATGTCTTAATTTTTAAAATGAAATCGTGTGTAAGGCTCACTAACTTATTAATTCCATGAAGGTAGGAGTTTTTGTCTTTCTTGGTCACTGCTCTATTTCTAGCCCCTAGAGCTGAAGAAATAAATTTTTAAATGAGGTAAGTTATGCTCACTACTTTAAAATATTGCCAGTTCTTCCTAGTTCTGTGTATTATTACCTGTGCATCACATCCACTCTAATCCCGCTCCCCTAAACAAGACAATATTTTGAATTTTGCATCTGTCATTGCTTTCCTTGATGGTTTTGCTAAACACATACATATTCTTAGACATTGTTTGGTTTTTCCATTGTTGTGAGCTTTATGTAAATGGAATAACACTATATGCATTCTTCTATAAAGTGCTTTATAAACCCAGAAAAAATATTTGATTATTTTTCTTCCTTTTTTTTTTTTTTTTTGTAGATCCCTTTCTACAAAGACTGTGGTGGTGATGGAATTTGCATCTCTGATCTGGTTCTAGATGTCCAACAGCTACCAGCTACTCAGTACGTTCAAATGTGAAGCTTAAAGTGAAATGCAGAAGTAAAAGTAATGCTACATTATCTCCTTCAAATGGATGTTTATGGAGATCTTTTTCCTATAAAAGAAATGCTAATAATACTAAAGACCTTTAAAAACTAGTAAAAAAAAAATATAAAATTATTGGTATTTGATAGTTCTTTACCCTGAAATGTAATTAAAAGCAGGGAAGAAGAAAATCCCACAGCATTTATTTATTTTTCAGTTCCATTTTAAAATGAAGATAACTTTTATTAGTAAGCAATTTTTCAATATTCCAAATAGAAACAAGTTATTTCTTAAACGAATGGGTTTTTAAATACTGGTCCTTATTTTGCTTTTTTCTCCTTTTCACTTTTAACAGAGAACAGTCCTTTATTGTCAGCAACCAAAATAAAAGGTTAACGTTTTCAGTAACACTGAAAAACAAAGGAGAAAGTGCATACAATGCTGCAATTGTTGCTAATTTTTCAGAAAACTTGTTTTTTGCATCATTCTCCATGCCGGTATGTGACAGCACTCTGAGAATATCACTGTTGTGTTTCCTACTTGCTATCAATTACTGTAAAACTTAAATTCAACCCTCCAGGTCCTCTAAATTGTCTGACGCGCCTTAATCTGGCTGTGATTAGGCCTAACTCGTGGCTTCCAACTAGTGAAGCCCCTCAGAACATGGTCCAGCTATATATCTGTACCAATACTGCAAAGCTCGGGTCACTTTTTCCTTTACTCTGAGACTTGGCCTCCTAGCCAGACACTCCTATGCCTCTTCCTGAGCCATCTGTGCAGCGAGGCTGCTGTGGTGTGGCACAGATGTGGTGCACTTGCTCTGAGCCATTCAAGCCCCAGCTCAGGCTGAGCTTTGCAACCGCAGGTCTCGCTGCTGCCAAGATGATGCATTCCAGCAAAGCCAGGCAATCAAACTGACCTGATAACTAAACCAGAAGTGACCTTGACCACGAGGGCTCTTTGCCCCCCCCCAACCCTCAATCCGGGGGCCGGGGGGAGAAAAGGAGGAAAAGCCATTTTCCAAGTGAGCTACTTCGTTCAAGGATTAAATAAATGGTTTCTTTTCATTTATAGATAATGTGAGTTCTATATATTTAGAGTTCTACCTCTATCTTGACCTTAGTGAGTAAAATGTCCTGTGCCAGTGACAACTTCTTTTTTTAAAGAATAAAGAACTGAGAAAAACTAAGAAAAATATTCTTCAAGTTCTGTGAAATACAAAGGCTAAAATGATTTTTTTGCTTCTCTTGAAAATATATATTTCAAAACTATTAAGAGAAATATATATACTAAAGATTTCTGCTTATTTCATTAAAGCTATTTGTGCTTCTGAAATATGAGAACTATGATTTCCTTTAGGAGAAGAAATCCAATTTTTAATCAGTTCTTTGGCTTGTCCAGTGAATGTTTAAAGTTAGCCATAAAAATAGTATGTTAGCTTGGAGAGTACAAGATTTTCAAGGCTTTGGGAACAATAAGCTAATTCACTGTGAAATAATCTTACTGTAAATGTCACTTTACATTTATCAGTGTGTGTATATCTACCCATGTGTTTTATGCTAATTGATTATTATTTCTTTGGTCTTGTTCAGGTTGATGGAACAGAAGTAACATGCCAGGTTGATTCATCTCAGAAGTCTGTTAGCTGCGATGTAGGCTATCCTGCTTTAAACAGTAAACAACAGGTACAAATTGCACGTCACCCTAACATACACGCTAGCCATGTTTCAGCACTCACATTAATTTACTAATATAATATCTTCTAGTTTAGGTATCACCACTTTATAGGAGTCATAAAATAACCAGCTGCGTACTTAGAGGAAGTTTCATAATAACTCAATTATTTTCTCTGAAATTAATAATAAAGCTTTGTTTTCCTACATGAAGTTCATACACAAAAGTACACAGAACCTGGAAACTTCTTTTTGTCTTAGCATGCTGACCAACATTGACCACAGTATTTCCACAGAGTAACAAAGGTCATCTGTTAATTAATCCCTGCTATAGAAGTTTCATATCAGCACAAAGCTTTACAGTTCAAACAAGGATATGTGGCTGGACCACTTCCAGTTGTCAGCTGAAATTTAAGCTTTCCTACTTTTAAAGGAGGCATACTAGAGTGAAGTAGACAAATAGAGATAGTCTACAAATTTGAAAGCTCAAGGAAACTAAAATTCAGAACAAGGTTGGATTGAGTTTGCTTTTAGGAGGACTATTTTTCTTTCATCACAGGTTGATGAATTTTAACTTCATATATAGGTGACTTTCATGCTTAACTTCGACTTCAATCTTCAAAACCTTCAGAATCAGGCATCTTTCAGTGTCCAAGCTTTTAGGTAAGACATAATGAAGTCATTAAGGATGATCTGGGGCTTTTATAATATTTTATGTTAAGTAATTTCCCAATGTTTGTTTCAATAGTGAAAGTGAGGAGGCGAATAAAGCAGATAATTCAGTCAACCTCAAAATTCCTCTACTGTATGATGCTGAAATTCATTTAACCAGGTAAGTGAAGCCCATTATAGTTGGGTAGCCTATTACTACTGACACCACACTGGTTTATAGCTTATTCAGTCTTAACTAAAGAATATGTCTTCCCCTTGCCAACCTAAACAGAAGTCCACAGACAGATCAGTGCCTAGGAAAACCTTGAGTGATTCTTTAGGTTTGTTGATTAAAAGCAGCATTGAAAGGCAGAAGAAAAATACTTTTCTACTGAACACAGGGAAACTCCCCTGAGGCCCTTGGAAAGGCTGCAAAACTTCCCAGCAAGTTGAAACAGACTCAAGGGCCCTATAGCTGTTACCCTTATCTTCTCCCTTCCTACTAGGCACATAAGATGTCAAACAATGTCTCCATCTCTGGACAGTGAAACCCCCAACACCCTGCTTTGAACATGGGAAGTCTACAGTTAATATTGAATAGAGTCACACATTGCATAATCAGATACAAAAAGTAGGTCAGGTCTGAGAGGAAAATCTCTGACATATCAGGTTAGAGCTTTCTTCCATCCAGGACGAAATGGGGGATTTTCCAGAGGAATTCATCCATGAAAAACTGCTTTATTTAAAATTATATAAAAAATAAAATTATATATATGAAAAGATGCTTTATTTATATCAGCTACTTTGAATTGTTCCTAGGAATAAGTGTCTTGGGAATTGGGTAGCGTACAAATCCCACAGGCGCTAATAGGTCAGTAGCAGCTTAATCCTCAGAAGCGAGGCTGGTTCATGGCACAGTTACAGCCCGGCACAGCTAAGCAGGTGCACAGGCCACTGGGCATGCCCGCCTCCAAGCACCCAGGCTGCTTCCCGGTGCGGGTGAATGGCCCAGAAAAACATGCAGTCGTGTTTTCTTTAAAAGCCTTGTGACAACTAGCTTCTCTCACTCCTACTTCATCATCCCAGACCCTAAAAGCATGACTTATGTAGATCATCCAATAAATCACTAAGCAAAAACAAAAAGAAAACTATGTCATCCCGTCTGGGGCTTGAGACACATGAGCAAAGAAGAAAAGAATGTTTCTGTGTCAAGTGAGTGGCCAGTGCACAAGTGGAAACAAAGTACAGCGCAAGCCACCCGCCCCTGAAAAATTAATCAGTAACTGCAGATTCCAAAGGGCTCTCCCTTGCTAAGAATTGGAAATGACTGCAGGCACAAAGATAGGTATTACTGCACTACCTAAATATTCCCCTTCCTCACCTATGTTAATTCTTTCTCTCCTAAATTCTTTTGTTAACGCAGCCCTTTTGTCATTCCACTCTACCATCATGGCCAATTTTTTCCCAGAAATCGTAACACAAAACAAACAGAAAATCGAAATGGGACTTCACTTTTACTTACTGACATCTTAGCTATATGTTTTTGAAATGGTAATTTGGATTCCAATGCACACCAATGTTTTCTTAAAGCATATATTTAAAAGTTTAATATAGAGAATGATGAAGAAAAAGCTGAAATGCCTCCTTATCCTACATATGAATAATTTTCCAGATTTTTTTTCTTTGAAAGAAAAACACTAAATGTACACTTTAGGTAGAAAATTCAGACATTACAGAAAGATGCACAATGAAAAATGAAGTCATCTCTTCCCTCTTCCCTGGCGATACTCCCCATAGGTGACGAATGTGACTATTTGAGAATGTTTTTTCAGACCTATGGTGGATCTAACTAATATGGAACATGCACGTATATGCTTGCACATAATTGTGTGCCAACTTTTCGTTTACCCAGAAGGAACAATAAAATACTCTTCTATATTTTGCTTTTTATGTGATCTTAGAGAAATTTTCATATAAAATCAAACATATCTAGCTTATTTTATTCCTGGATGTTTTATGGCCACTCTGATATTAATATGTTGTTGCTTTACATTTCCATCTTGTTTGTTTAGCCATCACAAGCAATGGCACAAAAAAACATTTTTAACAAACATTTTTTTCAAACTTTTAAGAAAAGCCCTACCCAATGACTGAACATCTCTGTTAGCCACCCACTTTGATACTATATAAATGTGCACCTATATTAGAGGAATATGATAGTGGAAATAGTGAAGGTAGCATTATTGTAGTAACTGGATTCCCTCTGAGCATAGCTAACTACTGCCACTATTATGTATATATTAAACACACCACAGTGTTACTTAAGTAACTGAGGGAAAACTTACGTAATGAGTGGAAAATCATCAGACCTCTTTATAATGCAAAAAGCAGAATATTATCCATTTAGAAATTGTCCCTGCTTAGGGACCAACACAAACACATTCTGTAAGGAAAAAAAAAATCCGTGCACACATTGCCAGAATGCCTGTTTCAAATCCTAGTCAATTTTCCCAGTAAATTGTCCATAGAGAATAAATGGATAGGGTATGCATAGTACTTGTTAGACTCTTTCTGCTGCCAACTGCTCTCCACAACCCTAAACCAAAAGAAGGTGCCCTGGTTGTAATGCAGCCTGACAGCCCCCCAGCTGAGTGAGAAAGTGGGAGATGGCCAGTTTCATTCCAGTCTGAGTAGTGCTGTGGCATTTCCTTTAGAAGAAACATCACTGTGCTTGCAGATGTTAGCTGGAAATCCCAAGCAAGGCGGTCGAGATCAGTCGGATGCCTTTAGGTCTAGTCTAATAAAATTTGTGGGTCGTCTATCTTAAAGGTGGCTCCACTAGTGGTATAAACAAATTTGAATAACTCAAATTCAGAGCCAAAGCACTGAAGTTGATTTGGAATTAGAAATGACTAGGAAGAAGGTTTAATAAGATAAATGTATGTCATGTTTCACAGGCATCTAGTAATGAATAATGTAGGCACTAAAACCTAATACCACATCATTGTATTTCACCCATATCAAGTGGGAAAGCACTGGCTTGTGAATCCATTCATCCAATCAACAAGTACTGAGTGTCCACTGTATTAAAATCCCAGTTAATGTAGCAATCTCGGGAACAGTTCCATCGTCAGTTCCAAAGTAATGCTTTTGTGCTTATTTTAGAAATTTGACAACTCACAAACATATAACATACAGAATCTCTGCAGAAAGACCATGAAAGAATATGTGTGGAATTTATTTTAGTTTTAAAAATATAAACTGGACCATAAAAACATAAAAAAATCCTTTGGTTTCATCTAGTGCTTTTTAAGATTTTCACTATTATAACTTTAATAGTACATATATATACATGGGTTTCAAAGTGATAATTCAGTACGTGTATACCATCTATGATAAAGCCAGGGGTAGTTGGTTTTTTCATCTACTTAATTTAAAAAATTTCATTGGCAAAAGGTAATTATACATGTTGATGGGGTACAATGTATTTCAGTATAATATGTTATGCATACTGACCATATGAGGGTAATTTGCATTTCTTTGTCTTTATCGTTACTTTAACTTTGGAAATGTTAAACTCCTCTAATTTTTCACAAAATACATAATATGTGATTGTGAGCTATTGTCACCTCCTTATGCTATAAAACACTAGAATTTACTACTTCTGTGTAATTGTTTTCTTACCCTTTATGCAGCCTCCTCCTATCTTCCCTCCCACCATCTTTCCCAGCTTCTGATCAGACACAAAAAGACAAATACGTCGTGTTCTCTCTCCTATGAGGAAGCTAAAAAAATCTTAATGTAGAATAATCATTTTGTGCTTTTGTAACTAAAAGTAAACTGTTTTACTTGTCATAAAAGCTAGAAAATAGTTAAGTAAAAGAAATATTAAACTTTAAAAACAATAGCAAAACTAAAAACATTGACTTTACAAATATTCAACAGATCCACCAACATAAATTTTTATGAAGTTTCTTTGGATGAGAATGTTCCCTCTATTGTGCACAGTTTTGAAGATATTGGTCCAAAATTCATCTTCTCTCTTAAGGTTAGTAAGTCTGTTGTAAGGATGGCAAACTAGGAACAATGGCAGAAAAAAAAAATGAGTCCCGGGAAGAGAAGAAGAAAATGAAATGAAGTCAAAATATATCAGTGTTCTCAGACTTGAGCATGTATTGAAATCATTAGGAGGGTTTGTTAAAACACAGATGCTAGGTTTCATCCCTGGAGTGATTCAGAGGGTCTGGAATGGGCCTAAAAATGTGTATTTCTATAAAGTTTCCACGTGATACTCATGTTACTAGCCTAGGAGCTATTTGAGAATCAGTGGGAAACATCATAAATAAGTAAACAACAGGGGTTGGCACTTAGTTCTGTGTCCTGGACTAGGTAATATTGAAAAAAAAAAAAATATATATATATACTATATGTGCTTGGGGTTGAACCCAAGTAATATTGAAAAAAAAATATATATATATATATATACTATATGTGCTTGGGGTTGAACCCAGACAGGGCCTTGCACATGCTAGGCAGGTACTCAGCCACTGAGCTACACTACAGTCCCAGTATCTAAAAATATCTTTGAGTCAAATTCTAACATCCATGAGTAATTGTTAATCTAAAAACAGTAATCAGTTATGTAAAGAGAAATCTAGTTATAAAAAATGACTATTTCATAATATAATGATATTATATTAACTTTAGAAAATAAAAAAGAATTCATCCATCACCCTGAGTCAGGACGATTTTTTAAAATCCATTTCCTACTAGTCTATTTCCTGGCTACAACCTGCACTTATGTGATTTTTAAAAATATAAAAGAATCTTAATTTGTTTTCCAGATACTGGAATTTATAAAATATGAATGGTATTCAGTAGCCACATTCTTTAGTAAGACACTTAATCAATTCATAGTAAAAATAAAATAAAGCTTTATATTTATAGAATATGTAAGAAACATCAAGTGCTTTTATGCTATTTAATTGCTAGGCCGGTTATGAGGGTGGAATTATTATTATTCCTTGTGTTATTGTTTAAAAACTTTAACAGCCAGTAGATCCTAAGCACTGTCCACCAGTGAGGACAGCTAATGTACCAGCACAGACCTACCAAATTTCTGACTACTGAGATTGTACAAATGAGAAAATGAAAGCAGAGAGAAAGTTCTTTCCCAAGCCATTTGTCTGACCAGTTGCACTTTATAGTTGCCTCTCATCAACATGGGGGTTACTGGTCATTTTCCTTGTATCACGTGCACTGCATAGTGATTCTAGAACATTTTCTTCGCAACACAGGTAACGACAGGACTTGTTCCAGTAAGCATGGCATCTGTAATCATCCACATTCCTCAGTACACTAAAGAAAAGAACCCACTCATGTACCTGACCGAGGTACACATGGACCAGGTAAGAATAACAAAACAGCCTATAAAAATGTACATTTTCTTGGGGTGATTGATTCTGACATTTTATAAATGAAAAACAGAAGATAATTCTTATGCACCCCAGGTACCAATTAACTAGCATTTAATTTCATATTAGAAGCAAGATATTATTTTTTTAAAAGAATGTCTGAGTCTAGGTATTTATAGACATAAATCTATTTATAGATTTATAATTTTTAATCTATAAATCTATTTATAGATTCTCAAATCCCTCCTCTGGTCAGGTGAAAATTGAACTTTACCAGGTCCTTATTAGGTGAGAAGATTGGGAAGTGAGAGTTTGAATCCACCTGAGTGCACAGTAGGTCTACACACTGCAGTGGTAACTGGTGTTCGAGCACCCAGCCTGGAGTTTCACCCAGTAACATTCAGCCCTGCCTGTTCATTGTAATCGCCTGGGTTTCATTTTAAAGAATGATGCCTTGAAAAATTAAGTCAGAATTCCTGAAGATAAGTCCTTTCCCATCAACACTTTTCTTTAAAGCTCTCCAGTGGTTCTACCCAGGCTAAGAAGGACTTCTTTCCTCAAACCCCTTGCAACTGGCTCACCTTTAGTCTAGCACTGAGCTCATCTTTCAGTAGTTTTCTTCCTGTAGCATGCATGGAAGATGGTAGGAAATCAAAAGCCTAAACCGTTCCACAGAAAACAACCCCACACTCACAGTGTATTTGCATTGCAAACTGGTCTTATCACATGTGGGCTTTGTGGTAGGCCATTTTACATTCTTACCAGAAAAAAAAAAAAACCCTGAGCCTTGATACATTCATAAAGAAAAGAAAATATTCAAAAGTTCACAGTTCTAGGGATTCGAAAGCATCATTTCTGCTCTAGTGAGACCTCAAGGTGGATGGTAGAAGCCAATGAACAGAGAGGGAGAGAAAGGGGAGGAAGGAGGAGGGAAGACGGAGAGGAAAGAGAAGAAAGAGACAATGACCAAATCAGAAACTAGAGAGGGCTGCAGTGCCACTGTCTCTTCTAAGGACACACTCCCAGTTAACCTGCAGACCTCCCACTAGGCTCCAACTGTTAGAGGTCCATTCCCTCTCAACGCTGCCATCCTGAGGATCCAACTTCCAGTGAACCTTGTGTCACAAACCACATTTAAGCCATGAGTCTATAAAACCTAGCCATTTAACAAGTCACATTAGAGGATTTGAACACAATGGTTCATTTTAGTGATCACAAGAGTTTGGCTAGATCAGGGCTGTGGAAAGAAACCTAACAGCCCTTCCCTCCCCTCCCATGACAGGTGACAGTTAGATTTCCTAACTTGAGGAAGGACACCACTGGAACGTTTTGCTTCCAAATCGGATTTTGTGTTCTTCTTTTTAGGCTGGTGACATCAGTTGTCAAGCAGAAATAAATCCACTGAAACTGGGTCAGACATCTTCCTCTGTATCTTTCAAGAGTGAAAACTTCCGGTACCTAAAAGAATTGGTGAGAACAGGTTAACAACTGAAGTTTCTTTCAGCAGCTTAGGGTTTATTTTACCTGAAATCAAGGAACTTTTCTCCAACCAGCTGGTATCAAAGAGTTTTGTCATTTTTTTTTTTTTTTTTGCTTTTGATGACTTCTATGAATTAAGATTTAGAAAATACATTCTCAAGTCTAGGTTATTGGAATTATTACTTACGCTATTACAAATTAAGTGTCCAGAGTTTATGTTATCAAAAGGATACATGTGAAATAATGATGTCTCTGTGTTGTGTACTTTAAAAATACAGCTGAGGACTGGGATTCAGTTCAGTGGCACCGCACCTACCTCATAGGCACAAGGTCCTGAGTTCCTTCGCTGTGAAGGAACTGGGCATCTTCCTTCAAGTAATCACTGATGACTTTTTTGTAACTGTTAAATATGCTACCCTCGTCTATCTTTTAATATTTTATTATCTCGTATTTGTGAGCTATGCCCTTTTGAGAAAAACATTAGTCTAGCATTTTAGCATGGTGTGTGGCATATATTCTAGGCACATATTAAGTATTCAGGTAAGTAAACATTTAGTAAATAATAAACCCAAAATTATCCACAGCTTTCCCTTATCAAAACTACTGAATGATATTTTCCTGTTTTAATCATTTCATTGCAATTGTTTGGTTTTGCGAAGGATGGGAGAGAAGCAGGAAAATAGAATAAAACTGTGTTTCTTTTAATGGCATTAATGCCCTTGGAGATATATGTATGCTGTTGCATAAGGGGCCCATGCTATCTTTTGTCCTGGTGATGGGCCAATATCACATGCTTTTTCAAAATACACTTTATTTTTAAGGCAAGTTTAGGTTCACAGCAAAATTAAACGGACTTGTTACAATTTCCCACATAGCCTCTCTCCTCACATAATTCCATTCTCCTCCACTGTCAGAGTCCTGAGCCAGAGAGGGACAGTTGTTACAGTGTGCACTGACACCAATGTATCACGGTCAACTAACTCCTACCTTAAGGTTTACTTGGGCATTGTAAAAATACACACTATAAATTCTGACAGATGTATAATGACATGTGTTGACAATTGTAGTATCATAAAAAGCGGTTTTACTGCTCCTCAAATTCTGTGCTCTCCCTGTTCATCTCTCCCTCCCCAAACTCCTGATAACCACTATTCTTTTACATTAACTTTTTTTTTTTTAATCTAAGACATTCATCTTTATGGTTAGGTTTAATGATTAAATTGCAATAATTTTTGTTAATATCCAATGATATACCTAACTAGTACATTGTTGATAAGGTGAGTTACTGTGTTTTGTTATTACTGTTTTTAGTAGTGCTATAAACACACTTGTATATTTGCTTCACATACTTCAGGTTTTTTTCCTGAAGTTGTCTATACAGAGAAGAAATTCTCTGGGGGAAAGTGTGCAATTTTTGCATTTTGTGACACAGTACCAAAATCCCTTGGAAAGGGGTTACAAGTACAAGTAGTTCATGAGATTGACTATTTCCCTAGATCCTTCCCACCGCTGGCCTTTATTTATCGTCATAAAATTTTAGCATTTATTTTCTACACGCACACTAATCCTCTGTTGTTTTACTATTGTCTCCAACCTGAAAGGACTGCAGAACTGCTTCCTGCAGTAATGTCACCTGCTGGTTCAAAGACCTTGACATAAAAGGAGAATACTTCATTAATGTGTCTACCAGAATTTGGAATAGGACTTTTGCTGCAGTAAGTAACAGTTTCATTTATCGGGTTCACCAGTGACAAGGAAACATAAGCCTTCACTGTCAAAGAGTTTGTACCCTTTGACAAAATAACATTCTGGTTGGTGTTGGTGGTGCCCACACAACCCAGAGCAGTTTAATGGTAGAAGGTAGTGTGCTGCCATCACTCTTCCGGGCACGCCTGATCTGACCGTGCCTCAGAATCACTCGAGAGCTCATGAAAACGTCTGTTTCTTAAGGACTCTGTGCCAGCCTTCAATATCTGCAGGAATGGTGTCCAAGTCACCTCTGCTACCCTTGGCTGCAAATGGCATCCGCTTTGTCTCCCCACCAGCACCTCACATTTCCCTCTTCCAGGTCTCTACCACATCCCCATCAAGATGGACGCGTCTCTTGGTCTCTGCTTGAACTCTCAGTTAATTGTTGGATGGATCTCAAACTACTCAGGAGATAAATCCAGCCAAAGGATTCATCTTCCTATTTAGTGACAACCCTCTACTCTCTTGCATTACCTTTCCTCCAATAAAAACACAGTCAGCACACAACTTTTAAGTCATTTCAATCCCCATGAAAAATTTGAAGAAAGTGCTAACTAATGTCAGTGTTGCTTTTCTGATGGGCAGGTGTGTGGCTACTGTAGCAATATTTTGGGATAGATTTGGGTAGCCAGTATTTCAGTGTAGTGTGAAAAATATGCGTATGGACAGGCCTCCTTAAATTTGATGCCTTAGTGACTAGCTATTCCTTTTGCCAACCTTGGCTTTGATTGAAGCGGCAAAATATAAATTAGTCTGAAACCTCTTGAGAGAGTGTGTGGTTTTCACTTTCTTTCTTTTAAATAAACAAATCAGTTACCAAGGTGCTTTAAAACAAATTCTACTCCCCTTTTTTCATCACTTTATGACTTTTCCAATAATCACCATTCCTTGCTATGGAATTTTATGCAAGATTAGAGGACTGGGATTCTTTGTAACTTTTTCCTGAAACCAAAACATGGGCAATATTCTTTTATAAAGATGCAATTTTTTGAAAAGGGGGTGGTGAAAGGTTGGGGGAAAAATACAGATTTGGAGAAGTGAGGAAATGAGACATTTACTTTTCTGTTTTGCTTGTTTTTTCTTCTTGTTAGTTGCATTTGTTTCCAGGCCTTCAAAAGTAAAGTCCTTTAAGGCGGAATGCCTACTGTCCACTGTTCCACCTTCCTAGCTGCAGCAGCTTGGTGCTCAGTTTTACCAGTTTGTTTTTGGATCTTTGGATTTGAGGAAAAAGTGTTTTTGTAGGAAACTTTGCCAAATGGGAAGGAAAACTGACTTTTGCACATCAAAATACAATGCCGCCAGCTCTGTAGAAAGCATTTGGGTTTTTTTGAGTTTGCTTAAAGCTACACTATTTTAACTGTAAGACATTTTAAAAGGACATTTCCAGCAGTTTTCAGAAGCAGCAGTTTCATTTCTAGGAGCAAACATATAGTATATTACTTATCCTTTTCAACATGCTTATATTGGTTTAACAGAAAACATCTGAGAGTCACTGAAGGTCAGGTCTTGAACGTCTTCCTTCTTTGAGAAAGGTCATATGTTTATCCTCACTTTGTTTTCAGCTATTTTAACAGCAAAATAGATGTTTGTGAGCTGGCCTGGGAGATCCAGTCTGAAACATTTACCTCATTTCCTTTATTAGAGCCCAGTGATGTCTGCCTCCTCCTGCCACCCTTTTTCTGTTGCTGTGCAAGTCAACTTAACATCCCAAGTGATTTTATCATAAAGCCTTCAAGTAGTTTTTATCACAAAGCCTTCCAAATGGGATGGCTGCATTTGTAAGAAGCCCTTGTGAATGCTAGCGGCTGTGCTACTTGGCCTTGCTACGTGTGTGGTTTGCTGACCTCTGCCTGTTAAACCTGGAGGATATTGTGTATCTGTAGGAAGGGCCTGCTTTCGAAGTGCAGATATATCAGGGTTGTGATACATCTTTCAGTTATAGGAACTAGGAAAAAACTAGCATTCACTTATGTGCTTCTTTCTTTTTTTAAAAAAGCTGAAACCATTATTGATAGTCTTAATGTTTCCCACATAATATACATTTAAGGAACCAAACACGAGGGTTAACTTCTGATGATGCAATCTTCCATCTTGAGAAAATTAAGAGTAAGCAGTGATTCAGCCAGTGAAGGAAAAAAATTGCTCTCTTTTTGGAAATATATTCTCTTTCTGGCTCCCAGATACAGCTTAACAAATGACTTCACAGAGTATGTTGAATCTTGAGCCCTAGTAACCGGAAAAACTGAGTCCTAGTAGCCAGAGCACATGAAAACAGCTCTAAAATCAGAGACAGTAAGCATGAGACCCACTATGTTCTCTACAACCACAGAGAAGTAAATACATCGATAATGTTTCCATTGAAAAAATATTCTTTTTCTGTAAATAGGTTGAAGAATATATGTAAAGACATTTTCATATTAGATTACACGTAACATTAACGTAAAATATATGACCTTTCTATAGGGGTGTATATATATACATATAT